ATACAACATAAACACATAAACAACATTATTGGGACTCCAAAGTTGAGTCCTAGTAATCCTGTAATCCCAAATACAAATTTAGACTCATCAGTCCATCAAACCTTCTTTGTTCTAGTGAAAAAAGTCTTTTTTTAGTCAATAATGACTTTGTGACAACTACGCAAAGTTTCAGCCCCATAGATTAGCCTGCATGGCTCCGGTTAGGATCATATGAAGATTCAGACCCCTAGAGTAGCTGAGTTTTCGCTAATGTGAGCAGCACAACTGAGTATGGGATGGTAATATTACATGGGATCCTTCCAGACCCATAGCGTTGGGTTGTTTTCTCACAGTTGAAGGATGGACAGAAATACCTGTGGATTTTTTTCAGATCTGAAGCAACAGTGGGACTTGATTTTCTCCTCTCTCTCAAAGATGAAAGCTCTATTTTATCTGATAGTGACAATTTTGGTGGTCCACCAGGTCTTGTATGGCTATTACGAGTCCCATTTTCTATAACTTTTAATATTTTTTTGAACTTCAGTTTTGGAAACTGTTTTTTTTCACTTATTCTCTTATTATTATCTTACATCCAGTCTCCTCAGAAATATACCCTGAATATTTGGGTTTTGACAGGAAATTGAATAAATGGAAGGTGGTCTCTGCCTTTTGCACAGTACTATATGTATTATTTCAAGTAGGTTCTTATATATACACATCATACATATAAAACATTATTTTTATTATGATTATTATGATTATGATTATGATTATTATTATTATATATTTTTATTATTATTATTTTATTACTGGGGCATACTAACATCACCAAAATGGTGACAGTGAAGATATATAACATGTATGAGACATAAGTATGACCCCATGTCCTGACATACATAAAAACAAACCTCTATGCATAAGTACGTGTGTGTGCGTGTGTATGTGTCCTCTGGCTGTGCTGTGTTGAAGCACCTGGGTCTGTGTTTCTCTTTTGTGGCAGTGTGCTGGAGCGGAATAAAAGCAGCAGCATCTGCTCCCTCACACCATTACAGCTTTAATCACACAGCTGGCGCAACACACACTCTCACTGAGCACATCTCCAGCACACAACACACACACACACACACAGTGAACTGATCACCTCCACATGAGCCGCAAGACATGCAGACTGCCTTACTGCTCTTTAACACTCTTCTCACAGTCAGCTACCGTTTCCCTCTCTCCCTCCTTCTGCATCCGTCTATGTCTGCCTTTGTCCTTTCTGCATTTCTTTGGTGTGAAAAACATGCCACAGAAGTGATATGACTGATGAAGTAGAGCATGAGTTCATGGGCTTGGCCTCTAAATCTCTCTTGTGTGTGTAAAAAATGATGGTGATCCCAGGAGAAGTGCTGCTATATGTGTGTGTGTGTGTCTGGAGCAGGGTAATCCCCTCAGGAGCTGCAGTCTCTGGGGCGTCCCAGTCAGGCATGTCTGCCCCACCATTCTCACTATAGGTGACTCCACAGCTGAGCCACAGGCTCTTTCAGCTACAGATATTACACTACAGCACAACACACACTTCCCCTGTGCATACACACTTGAGATCAAATATTTGGAATCATTTGGGATCTTTAAAACTTGGAATTAATGGCTTCAAATAAATAAAACCATTTTTTTACATATACAGCACTGTGCAAAAATCAGAGACCATTTAAATTTAACATTAAGTTGTTTTTTTTCAGTGTAAGAAAAAAACATTTAACAGGAAATTACAAAAAATATCAAATATCAAATATCAAATTACAGAAAAATAATCAACAACTAAATATAACATTCAATTTTCAGTTTTTAGCGTGTCAACCCATTGACTTTATCAGTTTCCATTCTTTTCGAGAGACTTTGAGTTTTTCTAAAAAATCTGCAGGGATATTTTTCCACACCTCCAAAGTTCAGTCTTAGACGTTGGTTGCATTTTCCGTTTTTCACATTCCAAGTAATCACAAACACATTCAGGGATGCTGAGGTCTGAACTCTGGAGTGGCCAGTCAACTGTTCTGAGAACTCCAGCTGCTTCTTTATTTGATTTCTATCTTTTTGTATATTTTCTTTTCTCAATATCATAATAATCTCTTTCCCAGTGGAAGGATTTTCAGATTTCTTTTCAGAGGTCTTGCACTGTTACTAGGAGTCCTATTATCTCTATATATTTTAGTAATTTGTTGAACTCCAATTTCAGATTTTCATTTTCCTTTGACTTTATGCATGCTTCTTTAAGCAAGAAGATTATCTTATCAGACTATCTAATCTCCTCAGAAATATCTCATGAAAATAAATAACTTGCTGTTTTGACTGGAAAATATATAAATGAAGGGCAGTCTCTGATTTCTGCGCAGTATTGTGCTACACTCTTAAAAAAGGGTAGCTAAAATGTTCTTTGAAGCAACGTCACAGAACGTCCAAGCCAAGAACCGATGCAGAACCTTTATTATTGAGAGTGTTTGAAAGCTGTAATAGGAATAAAGAAATTTTAGACATGTCCAGAATGATGAACAGAGCTGTAGACGGTTCTAAAATGATCAAGAAAGCTGTCTCGCATCAATAATGTCAAATTATAATGAAATCTCTTACCTGAATACCCTGTATACTCAAAAGTACAGCCATGGTTTTGAGGTAAATCTGTGTACCTTAAATATGTTTATCTCAGGAAAAAGTGTGTGTGGAGTCAATACAACTTAAAAATCAAGGTAATATGGTACAATTATGCTCCCTAACTAGAGGTATTGAAGATGTACTGTTGAGATTACCACCCCAGTGACAAGAAGGGTACCAAAAAATTCTTGTAATTAGATAATCAAAGCTTAATATTTACTTAAAATATTTAAGAAAACGTTTGTTGTCTTGTTTATAATATTGAAATCATTTAAATCCTTATTTTGTCATTAGTATATACAAAATGATACTTATTATTGTGACAAGTGATCAGTTGTTTAAGCCCATGCGTAAGTAATAAGACAGGGACCGAGGCTACCACTCATATACATCACAGCAACACAGTGCAGATGATGCTCAAGATGTACTTTCCTACCATTGTTGCATCAATACATGACTGATTGATTACAGCGAAAGAGGCAGAGTCGGGTAAGCGAGTAGGATCAATTTGAGCAAAAAATAGATATAACGTGCAGTAAATTAGAGACGCCATTGCTGAGCGAGACCAGAGCAGCAAACTACAGTGCATAATAGGTACAGAGCAGGAGGGCAAGTGCATGTGTGTCACTTATCGCATAAACAGATTGTGTTGTGCCATTTGAGCCCCCTGACTGGGTTTTCAGTGGGGGTCCTAGAGGAGATAAATCCAATCTTCTTTTGCGCTCTGATTTATTCCTCTGTTCCTCCGAATCCCGCTCTATACAAGACACGGTATGCCAACTGAGACTATCAGCATAGCAACAGAAGCACAGAACAGGCCAGGCTCAGAGAAAACAGGCCCTCGCAGCACATACTCACAGTAAGACACTCAGGAACACACACGAAGATGGCCAAAAATGAAAAATGGACTACTGTAAGTGTATTCTGAGATTATGTGCCAGTGATAACTTTATTTTACACTGCTGAAAATAATGATTTGAATTTACATGATTCAATGTGTCAGATACACATGAATAAAATCTGTTCTTTAGAGGTGTACGATCAGAGTTGTCCAGAAACGAATAAGAAAACATTCAGATTTTTGCTGTGTAGCAATTTTGTGACTTATGTTGTCACTGTCTGAAAAATCTTGCATCTTATATGAAAAACTATCCTGTGTGAATGTTTCATGATGAATGGACCAATATTTCTATTGGTCCATTCATCATGAAACATTCACACAGGACAACTGTCATTAAAATGTAAAAAAAAAATGTTCTACATATATATATTCCCCTGAGGTCCACATATAAGGTTTGTCTGATTTTATGCATCAAAAACTGTCATAATAATTATTTATATGACAACTTCTCAACCTCTCTTTATCCCTTAGAATTAAAAAGGCCTTTTTCTGTTACTGTGCTTTTATGACTGATACATGTAAATAATCTCTGCTCTGATTAGCTGCCCTGTATTGTGCTCTGTTCTAGAAAGCAGTATGGGCTGAAACACTTCTTATAACTTCAACATGAATGGATAGGAATGAACACTCAATTCAAAATGGGCTGCGTTTGCAGCTTAGTCTGAATATATGGACTGCACGAGCTGGGGAGAAAACTGTGCAATTTGAAACTTTGACGCCATTGAGATACTACATCAAAACATTCAGTTTTCCCAGATATGGACCTTTTAAAATGGTGAAACAAGATTTTGTTCTGATAGCAAAGATAAAATGTGAGCCAGGTAAGTGCATTTGTGCTTTATTTGAATGCTGCTGCTACACCTATGCCAAAATGTATGTATAACTCATTGTGCTGAACAGCCAGTTGTCTCTCAATTTCAGTGTAGTGCTTTACTTGATTCATGCTATTTCAAAAGGCAACTGATTTTTTGTCATTTTGGCCTGTCAAACTATAAATAATATAATTTATATTGTGACTTTGGCTAACAGAAAGTGTGGAAAATTGTGTTTATTTAGTCCACACAGTATGAGCTTTGGGTTAAAAAAAGGCTAATCCAAAAAATCAGGCAATATGGCTGTAAAGAACAAAGCATATTGTATTCATGTGCAACTGACACATTTGAATAAATGGCACTATTTTTCAGTGTTCTTTATTTTTTTTAACAGAGACAATATACACTAATCAGCAACATCATTTCATGATGTAAATGTGCCAGCTTTAGCCAAATAGCTCATTCTCATTTGCTGTCGCTGGGTATGTTGATGTAAAAAATAAGAACTATATCTGTGCATCAGCTATGATGATAATGATGAAGTTTAAATTGTTGATATGTTTTCTAGAGTCAAAAGTGTATGAGTTCATAGGTCGACTCCAAATTCTTGTAGTTGTGAAGGATTTCTGTACTTAAAAAAAATTCTAAAATAAACGCTCCAGGCATTTTAAACTCACCCGTACACAGCGCTGCTCGGCCTCTTGGCTCCCCCCATCTTTGAGCGGCTCGATTTCAGCTCCCCGGTCATGCTCATATCTGCGGGAGAACAACAAAGAGGCAGTCAGGTAGGCCCAAAAGCCCCAGCTTGGGGGTCACCTCTGTACTCTGACAGGTTCAGAGAGGCCGAGGCACAGAGAGGATTCTTCAGAAGTCTGGCCAAAACTATGGCCAACAGCAGGCAGGCAGCCGGCAGGTAGTTTTAAACACTGTAGAGGCGGCTCACTCACCCGCATTTTCTCTCTCTCTAACACAGCAAAACAAGGCCTCCCTGCGGAGTGTGCCCACCACACAGCCAGCTTGTCAAAATTCATCGAAGGAAACATGAAACAAGAGACATCTAATTTCAGGGCTGTGTTCCATGACACTGGGAGATTGATTCTTCTGGGCTACATTATACAGAATTACCGAGAGGCTGGTTAGCATGGCATGCCATCAGCGCTGCAATCTCCACGCACTGGCAGAAAGGGCCACACTGTGTGCTCTCAAAACAGCACCACTGCGCGCGCACACACACACACACACACACACACACACACACACACACACACACACACTTACACTAATACACAGATGGGGAAAGAGGAGCACAGCATGACATGGATGCCAGCCGCCATTTTGTGCAACTGCGTGTAAAACAGACTATTAATTGTGGTTCTTCTGAAAATTAGTCATTTAGTGGGAGAGTGTTAGTGGGCCTAAGTAATTGATTGGTTCATTTTGGGTATCTTCATTTGGATTTGCTTTTATTTGACAAATAAAAACCTACTATACAAATCCACTATGGAGTTCATAAAAGAGAAAAGAAATAGCTCTACAGTTGGGTCTATCATCATCAGTGCCCTTTGTCCAACGGCTCTATGCCAGGCACTCCACTGGGCTGGTGGAGTTGGTACAGAGGGGGCAGAGTGGAACCTGCTGGCACTGAAAGCCCAGCTCAAACCTGCCCCCTGCCCCAATCCTGCACTCAGACAATCAAGTGCTCTGGCGGAAAATTACCTTCCATCTGCCAAAGGGACATGAACTGCCTCTTTAAGAGTTCATTTCATATCATCATAAAACTGAATTTTCCTCACTTTTTTGCAATGAAAGAATTTGGTATAGTAAACATTAAAATAAGTAACGTATTAAGCACTGTTATAGTTTTAAAACGGAACTTTCACTCCTCAATGCCAACAGTTCACAGATGAAAATTAAGCGACAAAAAAGCCTGTTTTTTTAATTGCTTTAGTGATGTCACAAAATGTATTTACATATATCCATTTATTCAACCAACAGAAGAATGAATTAAGAATGAATGACTTTAGACTGTTACACCATGAAAAATCACATTAAAATATAACATGCAAAAAACGAAAATCCTCAGGTAAAATCGTCAAGTACTGACTAACGTAGCACATCCAGCATCTATCACCATAGCAACTTAAGTTTATTAGGCGATACTCTTCTCTTTGTAGGATTCTCTGGGTGTGAAATAAGATGACAAATCTTCAAATTGAGAGTTGTTGTGTGAGCAACAGCAAAGCAGTATAGATGCTGAACCTACAAAACAAAACAAATAAATAAATAAATAAACGGAATTACTAAGTGTATTTGGTTCAGAGGAAATGTAACTAGTTACCAGGCAATTCTGTCACACACATTAAAGCATGAACAAAAACTAAAACTATAACTGCTCAATGCTCAAACTACTAAAGTACTAGTGTAGGCAAGACCACAATGATCTAACAGAAAAGGTCCTAATGCAGCCCAGCCACAGACACACGCAATGTTTAGGAAAAAACAACTTGGCCCAGACCATGCAAAGTTCCTCAGCCTCCCACTAGCACATCAAAGCGAGAGACGAAAACACTGGAGAAAAGCAACTTTTAAAGAAAATATACCTGAAGACCTCGGCTTCACAGCACATATAAAGCAAGTAAACAAACTGCTGCTTGGGAAAACAGCGATGGTCAAGTGAGGACATGTACCCTTCCACCTCTCGAGGCTCAGTTATGTTTCAGCCACTTTAAGGACAGCTGCACTCCACAATTTCCCTCTCCCTCTCTCTTTCCCTCTCTCTCTCTCTCTCTCTCTCTCTCTCTCACCTTACTGACAAACAACCTAGAAGACAATGGAAGCTGACACCACTTGACCACCACACAGGCCCAGCGGCAGAACTTAATCATGAGTAGGACATCCAAAAATCTCTGTGGGGCAGGCTGGGGACAATGAAACTGGGTGAAAATTAAACTTTACTGAAACTTATCTGGACACAAATATTCTTTTGATGCTTAAATAACAGTATATAAGAGAATAATACTATCATTTTGATATATTCACAGAACAACAGGTGCAAGCAATGAGCTACACTGCTAATAGATAAGCTGGAATTGCCAAACGGTATTTTGAAAGCTAGTTGGTTAACGATGTTTGGCACAAGTCTGGCACAGCTAGTGAACTATCATATGGATTTTTCGTGATAATATGGATCCGTGACCCCTTCAAGTTGAAAGCTTTCAGCCCAGTGTGCCATACTGAAAGAGACACAAAGAAAGCGTAAAACATTTTTATCATAATGTTCTAGACATATTTCAAATGATTTCAAATCAAACAGTAAACATTTTAAATACTTAGTTTTTATTGAGACTTTCACTGAGACTTCAGTTTTTCCCCATCTATTTAGTGGGGCATGATGATTGGTTGGTAATGCATTGCTCCACTAAAATGATCCCCTGACACAGGGCCTGCCATCACATCTGTTATTACAGTGCTGAGTATGAAAGCCTCAGAGGGACCCATGAGCTGTAGATTGTTTACACTTGGCCTTTAGGTCAATCACTGCCCAACAAATACACAGATTTGCTACTAGGCAAAGACGGGTGATTTTTTTATCTTTATTCCTGTACAGAGAGCTACTGCTAAACTTTAAAGTTTCTTTTTTCTCCCCGTCCCCAATCCCCCAACCTACCATCACAGATCCAAACATGCGCACTCAAAGCCTCAGGGGCCCTTTCAGCTTTTCACCTTTGAAAATCTCTGAAAAGTACAAAAAATAAAAAATTCACACTCAATCAAACTGGCCAAAGCCGTGTTCTGACTCATATTCATTCACTTCCAAATCTACTTTTCTCCTGCCGGTTAAAAGGAGGAGCAGAGGCAGCAGCACGTCGCCCATATTAAAGCCCTGCAGGTCAGCGCCACTAACAAAGGCACTGAGCGGCTGAATGGGGTCAAGGCACGGGGACTGTGTAGAGCTAGCAGTGCTAATCCACAGCATGATAAAGCCATTACACTGCAAAAGGCTTCAGGACCCCTGGAATCACGCAAAAACAGTGTGCACCGCCTCAAGCAAGCAATTTGCTCATGTTTAGTGAACACAATGCAACACAATGCAATTAGCTTTCCCGCTGTGATCTCCATGAAAATACGGCACACCAGAGTGCCTTTGAGCTAGAGTATGATGGAAATAAACAGCCGAAAAGCTTTTAATATACACTAGAGGATAGAATTACGGGGATAAATTAATATACTTTCCATTTTTTGAGGGGTGAGGGGTGGAGGGAATCATGCTTTTTTTCCCTTGTCTCTTTCAAAGGCTTAATTACATTAGTGTCATTATTTTCAGTGTTTTCTGCAAGCAGCCTCTCTTGAAATCTCCTTGTAATGGCTCTGACAGCAATAGTAAACATTTTGAAAAGCCTGAATGTGCTGAGAAACCAGGAAAGGGTGACAGTTATGACTAAATACACAGAGCATTTGGCATCAGTAAAAAGCAGCATTATGAAGTGGACAGCTGTGAAGATGAAAACGAATTTATTCCATCAATTAAACAACCAGGGATTTACGCATCCCAGTTACAGAGCCAGGAATAGTTCACATATTGTGTGCTGTCTGGCCCAGGAATACAGAGCAGGCTATAAAATATTCCTGTTTTGATTCAAAAGCAATACATCAGCAGGCCTAACACTAAGGCCAAGGTTTACAAGATTTACATAAGGTTTTCCTCAGCACATGATTTGCTGACTCCTAAGACTATGAAAAATTGAATGTTGAATTTTTTTTCTTTTCTTTTTTCTTTTTCTTTTCATCAGCAAGCAACTGCAGACAAGAACTGAGCCATACAGTGTAGTTTGAGCTGGATAAGTTATTTAATTCACCACAAATTTTGTATACCCTTATTTAGATCCCAACATAATTCTAAAACATTCTTGCGAATTCCTGACATTTTTTAGATTCAGAAGCTTATCAATCACAATTTAAATAAAACATATCCTAAAACAAGAGAAAAATGACAGGGAAGTTCATTTTAAAGGTGTGTCCCCCCTCTTAAATATAAAAGCAAAACCAAATTAACAGAAATCAACACAGAAGGTGAAAAGGGCACTAAAACTGTAAAAGGTACTGAATGTAAAATATTTAAAATACACAACAAAAATTAGAATTCCTAGGAATAAAGAACAGGGACATGAAACAAACTGAATACAACAACTAAAATTCTTCATCTTTATTTCCTAGTGACAGAAAAATCACTATGTCATACCCATATAGCTACACTTAAGAACTCTTTCCAGATATAATTTCACTAAGCCTATCTGTTTCTTTAAACTGAACTGAACTCAACTGACGAATGAAGTAAGATATTAAGTAGTAGGTAAGAGACAACCATCAATTACACAAAGAGAAATAACCAACTACACACCTGCTGAAATACACCCAGTGTGCCTCCCTGCTGAAAAAATAGCACAGACCAGCATGTATTCCATGCTGGTACTGGTTTAACTAGTTACAAAGAATGGTCATACTGGTTGACCAGCATACCAGCATCCAAATCACAACGTGTGGTGCTTTTTTCAAGCAAGGTCATTTGGTCAGTGTAGCTGAGGTACTGAGACTAACTAGAAAGTGGGCAAACACAGAGATATCAGGCTAGCTCACTAGTTCAGCTTACTCATACACGCAATTAAATGTCTCTATGAATTGATGCATATTGATATCAAATACTGAAATAACAAGCAAAATCATAGAGACTGAATGAGGTTTATGTTTGCCTACTGTTA